GAGGAGGAAGAGATATCTTCTAAAGCAGAAAAGGCCTATGTTCCAAAGCTAACAGGTAAGAACCTGTTAGGGGTGAATGCAAAGGACAGTGTGAGAGGAGACAGGCAAAGTCTCAAGTCTTTTCTCATGTACCCTTAGGGACCGTTAAAGGTAAATTTGCTGAGATGGAGAAACAAAGACAGGAAGAAGAAAGGAAGAGAACAGAGGAAGAACGAAAACGCAGGATAGAGCAGGATATGTTGGAAAAGAGGAAAATACAGCGTGAATTAGCAAAAAGAGCTGAGCAGGTAGATACTAAATATTAAGTTGGTATTTGTTTCGGAAACTAATTGTGCAAATGAAAACTAATTAGTATGTTGCCTAAGTAAAATATCTTACTATAAACCTATTAACTTGAAAACATTGACTGAAGGAAAAACATTCAGTACCAGGTGCCCATAAGAATGTGACAGATGTGCCTGATTTAAAGTGGAATACTGACAGGTCTTTCAATCAGTTCTGTCCATATTCCTTACACTGTCCACATTGCTAACTTTCCTCAGCTTGTTTGAGAATTTTACAAAGCTAGAAGATATTTACACACATACTGTTTGTAAAACCAAGCAAAATTCTGGCTTTGTCTCAGCAATGCTTACAGATGCTGTCCTTTAAAGTGGGATTTTTTTCAGTGCCTAAGACCGTACACTGTGTGCTTGCCAGCTTTTCCTGCTTTTCCAGAAAGAAGTGATGACCGAAGTGAAGCACTCCCGTACTCGCATGCCCAAGAAAACTGCTAACTCTGACTTTCCAAATAACCTCTTCCTTGACAAAAGCAGCTGCTTGTTTGATGGCAAATGATGATATATCCAGATTACCTATTAAAAAGAATGAGAATTTCCTATATTTTATTACTGTTATCCTTGTCCGAATTTGAAAGGATGCTGCGGAGCTTCCTTCTAGTCATCAGAGTCCAGGATTCATTTTGCAGTGACACTTTTTACAAAGAAATAGAATAATAAGAATTATTAAATTATGTTTTATAAACACAAATATG